CAGCATTACGCCGGCCGCCTTTACTTTCCCAGGACAACCATCCTGGTACCCATTTTAGGCTGGGTCGACCTGCGACGCCCTAAACCATGGTTAAAATTCACGCAGCCAGCAGTGGATTTCGATCGCGGTACGTTGCAATTGCAACTCGGACTCGCAACGCCTAAGCCACGGACGCCGCTATATTTCATTCATGATCTGTCTTTATTCCTTTGATTATGTCGGTCGAGTCTTAGTGCTATTGTGACAGAACGAGTAATTCCCGCAACATGGTATGAAATGGTATCGTCTTTTTCTTTTGTCATCTCACTGATACCAGGTTATAGCCCAGTCTTCTGGTTTCCTCTACTCGTCTTGCGCTTCTTGGATGACCCTATAACTCATTCCTTCATGTGTAGTAGCCATGGATTATATAACTGCCGGCTTGCTAGGCCCGTCGTGTGGTGGGGCAAGAAAATAGAAAACTGACCTAGTTGGTACCCGTCTTCTTCCATGCGAGTAATTGCCCCATTAGCCTGGAACCTAACGGCTTCAATTATCCAGCGTGCCCAGCGAGGAGGTGTGGTTAACCTGGGTTCTCTATGGGTAGTAGGCAGGCTGCCCAACTTCACTTGTCACCTCTGATAACCTTAACACTCAGCTACAGTGCCAAGCGCATGAGAACACCCGTACACGCCATGGAATGGTATACCATCTGGTAATCCTGATTGACTTTAGTGATTTTTGACACTGGGTAAAGAAAACGAGAGAAGACAGCGATGGAAATAAAGAATAAAACAATGACAGAATAGAGAGAGAGAGAGAGAGAGAGAGAGAGAGAGAGAGAGAGAGAGGCAGCGAGCTGAGGGGCATAAAGCGAGAAATGGGAAGATGAGATACAGATGGAGGGAAAAGAAAGATGTGCGAGGAAAAATTGAGATAGAAAAAAAAGAGATGGGGAGAGGACGGAAGAGGAAGAGTAGATAGAGATAGCATAGATAGATAGATAGATAGATAGATAGATAGATAGATAGATGATAGATAGATAGATAGATAGATAGATAGATAGATAGATAGATAGACGCAAGATAGATAGAGATAGATAGATAGAGATAGACAGGAATAGACAGGACAGACACACGACAGACAGACCAGACAGACCGACAGGACAGACAGACAGACAGACAGGAACAGACAGACAGACAGGACAGACAGACAGACAGACAGACAGGACAGAACAGACAGAACAGACAGACAGACAGACAGACAGACAGACAGACAGACAGACCGACAGACAGGACAGACAGGACAGAGACAGACAGACAGACAGATGAGACAGACAGCCACAGACAGTACAGACAGACAGGAGAATGACAGACAGACAGACAGACAGACAGACATACAGACAGAGGACAGACAGACAGACAGGACAGGACAGACAGACAGACAGGACAGACAGACAGACAGACAGACAGACAGACAGACAGACAGACAGACAGACAGACAGACAGAGACAGACAGAAACCAGACAGAAAGACAGACAGACAGACAGACAGACAGATAGACAGACAGACAGATAGAAGACAGACAGATAGACAGATAGATCAGACCGGACAGATAGATAGACAGACAGACAGGACAGACAGACAGACAGATAGACAGACAGATGACAGACAGATAGACAGACAGACAGACAGGACCGATAGACAGACAGACAGACAGACAGACAGACAGACAGACAGATAGATAGACAGACAGACAGACAGACAGGACAGACAGACAGACAGACAGACAGACAGACAGACAGACAGACAGACAGACAGATAGACAGATAGACAGATAGACAGATAGACAGGATAGGATAGACAGATAGACAGATAGACAGATGGACAGGATAGACAGATAGACAGATAGACAGATAGGGACAGATGACAGACAGATAGATAGACAGATAGGATAGACAGATGGATGGATAGGACAGATAGACACAGATAGGACAGATAGACAGATAGACAGGACAGATAGACAGATAGACAGATAGACAGATAGACAGATAGACAGATAGACAGATAGACAGATAGACAGATAGACGATAGACAGATAGACAGATAGACAGATAGACAGATAGACAGATAGGACAGGACAGACAGATAGACGGACGAGGACAGATAGACAGATTAGACAGATAGGATAGACCGATAGACAGATAGACAGATAGACAGATAGACAGCTAGACAGATAGACAGATAGACAGATAGACAGATAGACAGATAGACAGATAGACAGATAGACAGATAGATAGATAGATAGATAGATAGATAGATAGATAGATAGATAGATAGATTGAGAGATTGAGAGATTGAGAGATTGAGAGATTGAGAGATTGAGAGATAGAGAGATAGATGGAGAGAGTGTTACAAAGGTCCTAGAAAAGAAATAATTTACAACAGCATTTGAATACGTTGTTAACAAAGACAATGATGATAGGAAGACATAAAGACAATTTAGAAATTAAATTAAAAAACAACACCCTGAGACAAACAGAGGAATTTAAGTATTTGGGAGCAATTTTTACTTCAGACGGAAACTGGACAGAGAAATTAGCTCCAGATGTGCCAAAGAAAAAAAAATCAAGTAATGGGCCAACTATCTCCCTGTTTGACACACAAGCAGATACCTCAGAGTACTAAAGTGAATCTTATCAGAACTATTTTTTGGCCAATACTATGCTATCAGTGCCAAACGTGGACACTTACATCCTCCAATGAACGTAAAAAATTGTGACAACAGAGATGAAATGCCATAAGAGCTGCAGGAGTTTCAGAATACAAAAATCATGAAAATCAGACGGACGAATGCTAGGAATAAAGCCAGTCTTACAGGTCATCAAAGAACAACAAATGAAATGGTTTGGACACCTAACAAGAATGCCCTGGTACTATCTGCCACAGCGAGCCACACTTAAACGTTACAACGGGTATAAAGCGAGTGGAAGACCTCGGAAAAGATGGAGTGATGGCATTAAGAACAGCTTACAGAATATGAACATCAGTCTTATTAAATAGTGCTCTTGACAGAGCCCATCAACGAACATTACATCCCCCCCGACACTTCGATGAGGTACAAGCTTATTACAGCAAAATTACCTTTATACAAGATTATGACTAATCTCCCCTTGAAAGTCCAAAGAAACCATAAGAAAGAAACTTCGTAAACTTCTTACTCTTTAGTCCTATGCGGTTTTGTACAAAACTTATTATATCCTTCCCCCCCCCCCCCTTTCCATTATCCTTCCATGCTACTAAATTTCTTCTTCTTCTTCTGCGTTCGACATCAGTTATGCTAAACATTGAGTCCCGTCTGGGTCAAAAATATGATTGTGCGTTTAAGATCGCCACCGGTCCCCATAGCTTCTCTCGCAATGTGGATCCCCTGGGCCAGATCTAAAACTCTAACCGCTTGCTGTGTTGTAGAATGAAAAAGTTATTAGGGCGCTACAATAACCTAGCAACATTATGTATGATAAGAAAGCTCTACTGGAACTATATCGACCATGTCCTCAGAATGGACAAGACCAGACTTGCCTATCAAGCCCTCATATGGACACCGGAAGGGAAAAGAAAACGAGGAAGACCAAGAGTGACCCTGCGCTGAACCATCATCATGGAGGGCTCTACAATGAGCCCAATGAACACCCAAGACCTAAAGTATGTGGCAACGAAGCACCAGACGCGAAGAGCTATAAACTCTGCCCTATGCGCCGGCCCCTGGCTCAAGAGGATCGACTAACAAACTAACTATAAATCAAACGGCTGAAAAGGGTTTCTTGGACTTGTGCTCGGGGATTCTTATCTTGATGGTGGCACGGTAAAAGTAGCGTTGGTCTCCCCACGCCCCGCCCATATACACAATAGCTCATTTCTGTTGGTAGTTTCTTAACCTGTTATCTTGGCACAAGATTACGGGGGTGTTCCGCAATGCGTTGATATCGCGTGTTGAATATTTCAGCACGCCAGCGCTTTAACACTCCAAAAACATGCACCAACTGGTCCTAACACAACCCTTCTAGAGAGTGCTGCAACCTATGTCACAGGCATTCTCTTTTTCGGAATGAAAACGTACATGCAAGACATCACAGACAGCAAACCACAGAGCGGGACACATCCGTAACCTTCATAAAAGTCGACAAGCCCAACAAACTTGTGAATGAAAAGTGACCTACTCTATTTGGGGAAATTAAAGCTAACCTAACCTGGTGGCACTTTGTGTCATGGGGTTCTAGCCGCTGGTTGTACCGTCCTGGTGTATTGGACTTGTTTATTTATGTTGTTGATTGAATGTCACCCGTTGGGGGGCCCCAATATAATTTTGCGGTTTTATGGGGCTTACCGGGGTTTGTATGAGAATGGTTCTCATCCTTGGGGTGTCAGTGGCGCCCTCAGCAGTCCTGGATAAGACAAACTGCATCTGGGTAAACTTCTGAATCAGCGGCAGGTAGAGGCTAGCAGGTATACTTGCCGGTCCAGTCGTGATGGGTTCGAATCCTTCTAAGTGTTCTTCTTAACGTTCAGTGGCTGCAAACTCCAGCGGACAGTTTTTGGTTTTCGTCCACCTCTGCATTTGCAAAATTTGCGGTTTGTGTGCACATCTGTTTTACAGATCTGGATTATTTACATGCAGACTGTTAGCAAGTAAATGCACACTGACCTCGAAGGCAACACCCCTAATTATTTAACTTTTACGACATGCTTTATTGGGGTGGAGGTGGGGGGTGGGGGTGTGGGTGTGGGATGGAATTCTATCTTGGATCTCTCGAACAACAGTTAAAAACCCAGCTGTTTGCGGATTCAAACCATAAAATTGGATCAAAAGGAATTTTTTTTTTTTAGCAACGTTGCTATTGCGGTTAAGAGATCAGTTGCAGCGCTAATTTAATTAGTTTTAATTTCCTATGCATATTTGTCACTATAAGATGTTACACTTTCTTATTATCATAGTTACCTTTTTATTACATGTAATTCCAGAAGACACAATGTTACGAATCGACATGGAGGACTGGAGCGGGAAAAGATTCTACGCGGTTTACAACCACTTCCGGGTTGACGGACCCAAACACAACTACAGACTACATGTGTCTGGTTACCAAGGCAACGCTGGGGATTCACTGACATCTTTATGGGAAAATCATGACGGAATGCCGTTTAGTACCAAAGATAAAGACAATGATGGAAGGTTTGTAGTCTCTATATCATTTGCTGGAGTTTTATATTATTCTGATTAAAAGTAGTTAGTTACTGGCATTTCAAATTTATGTCAACGTTTTTAAAATGAATGAAGGTATGAATAGTCGTATATTTTAACTGGTCTGCCTTCCAGTGTCTGACACAATTGTTTATTATTTTAAAGCCCTACCCCGGCTGTCGTCATGGGTCCTATAATATAATAAAAACTCCAAAATTGGAGCATGCACAACAGAAGTCTACCGTTCATCAGTTGGTGGGTCCTTGACAACTGTCTCAGCCCATTATCCTCCTAGACACTCTCGGAGGGTGGGCCGATCTGGTTCACGACTGCAGGCCTCAGACATCTCCTGTTGCGCTTAATGGACTTTCGGACAAGACGAAAAGGTGGCTTTGCAACAGGTATTATATATATATATATATATATATATATATATATATATATATATATATATATACATATATATATATATATATATATATATATATATATATATATATATATAAATATATATTTTATATACATACATATATATATATATATATATATATATATATATATATAAATATATATATATATATACATACATATATATATATATATATATATATATATATATATATATATATATATATATATATATATATATTGTCGCTGCGGTAGCAAATTAGCTGACTGCCTTCATGACCAGAGTGTAAAGTGAACGGTTGGTTCATCGGACAGATATTAGACTTTGGCAATTGGCAGAGAGACACTGGCAGAGGTTAATCAGACACTTTGGCTTTTGAGGATGTAAGGTTAATTTTTTTTCAAACGAGCGGCTCGGACCAGTCTACCGAGACCCATCCCATACAACGTTCCGTTATGTCCACAGCCAGAACAGAACCCTTTCAGCCGCTCACCCAGTTGTTTTAATGCCCGTTTCCGTTACTTTCTTCGCAAGCCCAGGTGCTTTAGTACATTGTATGTGGAGGTGCAAAATAGCTCTTGTTCGCCCACATCAACGGCGAAGAGCTTTACTGTGTTCGCCCCATCGCTCCTTAGACTAAGCCACCTGATCGCTGTGCTTTTCGAGCTTGTTCAGATGATTTTCTTCCATCCATGACTCATACGGCATGCTAAGCTCTATTGGCATGAGCTGACGTTCTGCTGTAGAGTGTAGCACCATATCTCGTCTCAGACCTGTCTTTTAGATTGACTTAGGGTATTTTTCGAAACCAGGCAGGTCGACTGCCAGTAATTAGTCCCTCGTACAGTCAAGTATTGTTGGAGCATATGGGACTTTTGAATTTACCTAATATAACATAACCGGGAATCTCCTTGGTGAAGTGGCCAAGCCGCTTGCCTCGCGCTCTGAAGGTCATGGGTTGGTTCTATGGCTGCGCCCTTCAGTTCACGAGTGCAATTTTTAATGGGGATCATTGCTGGAGCTACGAAGTTCGGAGAGAAACTGAGCCATAGGGATAAAATCAAGTTCAGTGAAGTCAATCCTCTCGATTTTAGCTTTTACTTTAACCTTTTAAATAACCAAATGGCTGAACAAGTTTTCTGAGACTTGTGCCCGGGTGATTCTCATCATAATGGTGACATTTTGTGTAACAAGGTGTTCTGTCGCTCGTTGTGAGGTCCTGATAGGGTTAAACATCTGCCAGTCAGTCAATCAATCATTCTAATGTTCACAAATATCCTGTCCATCCACAGGTTCTATGATTCATGTGCCCAACACTATCAAGGAGCATGGTGGTTCAACAACTGCTTCGAAGCTCACCTCAATGGCAAATACTATCATAAAGGCTTCCACAAGAACTATTTCCAGCGTGATGGCATACAGTGGAATACCATACACATGTACTCATCACTCAAGGCTGTTCTGATGATGGTCAAGCCAGCAGATCATCCCAGAAATCCAACTTCAAATGAAGTCATTAGTGACGCATAACTAGCATTATGTTAGATACTTTTTATAGCAGAAGATAACTGAAAATATTATAAAATGATTTCGCAGACTTTAGTGTCAACATATGTCTATTTGTCAGTTTGAGTGTAATTTCCTATAAAACATGTACAGTGCTACCTTGGGTAACAAACTTAAATTATTTTTTGACACTGTTTGCAAACCGAAATGTTCGCAAGCTGAAATAAGTTTTCCCATTGAAATCAATGCAAATCTAATAAATCTGTTCACCCACCCCAGAAATATATTGTTTTCTTTTTGTG